GTTTGTTCACCATTTTAATAGACTTAAGTACTAAATTGCAAATTTTCAAGTTTTCACGTTAAAAATTTATCACAGCTAATATTAAATTTTTATTGAAAATATTAGTTGCATTGCAAATTTCACTATGCTATTTTAACATCATTATTAAATTTATGGAGGATAGATTATGTTAGTAATAGGGGCAGCAGCAGCAGTTGGTAGTGTAGCTGGGGCAGCAGCAGGAGCTGCATTTGCTAGTACTCAGTACGAAAAAGTTATATCAAAATTAGAAGAGCAGAATAAAAACATGTCAGAAAATTGCGATAAGCAGGTTGAGGCAACCAAGAAAGAAAACAAAAAATTAACAGAAAAATTAGCCGATTTAACAACAGAAGTATCTCAAGCAAAAGAAGAAGCAAAAAAGAAACATCAAGAATTGATTAGTAAAATGGAACAAGAAAGAAAGGAAATGCAAGCAAAAATGGATAGAGATGCAAAGGCAACGCAAGCAAAAATTGATATGCTTCTTAGTTTTTTGAATATACATCCTGCATTGCAACCAGCAAGCCCATCTCACAGTGGCGCACAAACTGTAACAGAAGGCTTATCAGGGGCCACTGGAACACAGAGTTTACATGGAGCAAATGACCATATGAGTACTTCTCAATTCTCTATAGTAGCTGATTTTTCTGATGATGATATTGAAGTGATGCCTGACCAGCAAGCTCCAAGTTCTTATGTAGATCAACTTAAGGTATCTACTTGCAGTAGAGGTCACAATATAATTTAAAGATGGCTTTTATAGTCTTATTATTAATCATAGAATTAGCGGCGCTTTTGCTGCTGTTAATGTTGGTATACTTTTTTAAATGGCAAAGGAGGGGTAAAATGTTTCAAGATAATAGTGTTTTGGTTGATGAGCAGGAACAGAAGAAGGGTGACTTAACAGTCATAGATAGCATGACTTTGGAAAATACGCTCAAGCTATTGGAGTTAAAGAGCTTATTATCTGACCTTGATGATAATTTACGGGATGTTAAAAAAGGCAAGAAGTCCATCGAAGATCACAGAAAATACTTTAAAACAGAAGTTGACAATAAACTTAAAAATCTCAGCTTAATATATCATCCTGATTCAGTGCAAAGAGCGGCATTTGATCGAGTGTTTTTTTGCTAAAA